CTTAATTTGTTTAACTCTGCTGATTTAAATTTTCATCGGCACCAGTTGTTGAAGTCGTCATGGATGGTTGTGGACTCTGTGTTTAAGAAGAAATGATTCAAATAAAAAATATCAAATCATAAACTATCACCACAAGTTTACACATTCAAAATTACACTGAAAAAAATCATATTATCACAAAAAACGAAAAAAAACCTGACGTATAAAACCATTAAAGAGGAATGTCAGTAAGAATTAAGCAAAATATGCGAAAATGAGTAGAAGCAGAGGAGAATGGAATGCAGTCTGATTAATTATTTTACATACGATAATATATGGTATATGGAAAGTAAAAATGAAAAACATTATTAATTAACATTTAGAGCACCCACTTAGACGATTTATATGTTGCTATGTACAGTTTCACGCATATAGTATATACATACAAATACTATATGGTATATATAATATGTGTATAAACAAATATTTGTATTAATGCAAATGAGGGTCCATGGATCGCAGGTACAAAATGTTCGAATGCAGTTATTTGTGTTATAGACTTAGGCTTTTGTATTTTCAAGGAGCAACAAGTAGTACGCAGTTGAGTCTGCTTAGTAGTTATTTGAAGGGTCTCTACAGACATTAGTCATTTTATGCATGAAATTTACGCTGTTTTTTTTTTAACTTTTTTAATTATATATATGCTTTCGAACTTACTTAAGACGTTGGTTGTTGATGGTTGTGTGAATATATATTTATATTTTAGCAGATATACTTTTGTTTTGGTAGTTTCGCATGACAGTTAGGGACTATCAGTTCAATATTTCATATGCATATTCAGTAAAAGGTATATAAATATTCCTATAAATATAAATAGTTAACTTATTTCTCTGTTACGCACAATTATTATAAGTTTTTTTTTTTTGTTAAAAAAATTATTAGTTATACAATTTCTTAAGCTACCTAAGGACGTTATATTTCTAACCAGTGGTTGAACAGTGTTACCACTTTTAAATTAATTTGTGTTATTTATTTGATGATTGCGATGTTTATGTAGAAGTATGTGAAAAATATTAAAAAGTACAAAAAAAAATAAATAATAGTTAATACAAAAATTGTATCTTATGGCTGTAAGAAATTTCATTTGGAATTTAAAAAGATGAAAGTATAACAGAAAAATTGTTAGAATACCAAGAAAGTCGATAAAATATCGAACGAGTGAAAAACTAAAGCTTACCAATTAGAAATTATACTCTTTTTTTACAATCTCAGCTTGAAGGCTTTGTACTGTGGGCAAAACGTAGTAAGACTTTTTGATCTCTATTTCGCTTGGTTGGTATGACTGTCAGTGGCATCTGTGCCAAATATCTCATCACAATAGTCATTATTGTTTAGTACACACTTGTCTTTCTTAGGTACTTAAAATGATTTCGAGGATGTTTAGGATGAGAAAAGTTCCATTAAATGTTGTGTATGAAATCAAATTTTTGGTTTCAAAATGTTGAAAAGTTCTTTTGGGATAATTATTTGACGCGAGCAAATATTTTTTATTGCCACAAATTCGAGAACCCTAAGACTGCCATCAACTGATTATCAGCACGTCAACAAAACTACGGATTTGGGACTTTAGAATCGACGATTAACAGATTAAAGTCTGTGAAAAAATGCTTTCCGACTACAAGGATATCATGAAACGTATCATTAGCTGATTAGATAAGTCTTGGATCTATGCTTACGACCCGGAAACAGACAATCTATCGACTGAATGTCGTGGCAAAAGTGAGCCGAACCGAAAAAACCATGTCAAAGCAGTTTAAAAATCAAGGTTATGTTGACAGTTTTCTTCGATTATCGATCTCGTACCGACCGGCCAAACTGTCAACAAGGAATACTATTTGAATTCTACGAGTTATTTTCGTAGAAGCAGGTTACGATACTGCACCGTCGCATACTGCATTGATTCTTTGTAAGTTTTTCGCCAAATTTTCAACCAATAACCTAAACTACCGCTCCGAGGAAACCGCTTTGAGTCAATTGAACACTTAGACAACCGTTTCGAGAATCGGAATTGGAATTGGTCGGTTTCGAAGAACAAGTAAATAATTTTAAAATTATGAACAAAGTCTGACTATTTTTTGCTCATAGTAGTCGAAGTTCTTCTTACTGCAAGTTTTTGATCTGTCCAAAAATGAGTTTTCCTGGTCAAAAACGAGTAATATTTTGGGTAAAATTTCACTTTTTTTAGTTTTTTTTGTTTTTAGCAAACGTCGCCATTTTGTCAAATGTTGATGTATTTTTGAACTTTACATTTTTGTACGGGCAATATTTTCAAGAAATAAATGTGTTTTAGTTCTTGCACGGAACCACCGAAAACACGGAGATCACGTACATCTCGAAATGTTCGTTTGGACATTTTTATCGGCAGGTGGCGTTAGAGTCGAGATGGTAGGAGGATCATGTCATTGATCAGATCGGTTGATATTTGTATTTTTTTATTGTATAAGGAAATTATTTTACTATACAAAAGCTTTGAGCCATGAATTATTAGTGCATTTTAACAAAAAAGAATATTTCATTACTAAACACTTAATTGGTTGCTCATTTTATCATAAATGGTTCATAATTGTAAGTAATTTTCGAAAATATATAATGTTAGAATACCTAACATAGTACAGATATATTTTTCTGTTAAAAAGGCTTGCCTGATATTACGAAAATTAATCGAAAAACCATCTAGGTTCCACACAATAAATTAAGAAAAAATAGAAAAACTATTTCAATCAATTTAGAAGAGTAAATAATTTTTTTAAACAGAAATGAAGGAAAACATTTAAATATTTATATA